GTAGTAGTAGTAGTAGTAGTAGTAGTAGTAGTAGTAGTAGTAGTAGTAGTAGTAGTAGTAGTAGTAGTAGTAGTAGTAGTAGTAGTAGTAGTAGTATATCTGGCCAAGTATTCGGGATACCTATCCTAGACCTATAGGTACATGTATATGTACAATATCATACCTATTGAATTGACTTGACTTGACTTGACTTGAATGGAATGGAAATAGAGATAGAACTATTAATACTGATCCCAATAAGATAAGATACACCAGTCTAGTCTAGTCCAATTACTGGAACTGGAATTAGAACTAGGATTGGAATTTGAACTGGAACTGATCCATAAACATGTCGAAACCATCACTTTGTCATAACATAAACATAAACACAAACCCAGCCAGCGTCTCTCACTCCCCAGGGCTGCCTAAAGCTCAACCGCTGACGATCAGGAAGCTCAACTGAAGACCATCAGTAAGCTCAACCGCCGACGAAGACGATCTGAAAGCTCAACCCTGACTCCAATGCCAGGCTTCTTTCAAGAAGAGATTTTAATGCCAGTGTTGACATTCGCCGAAGTTCCCTGAAGTATAGGAGTTCCCTGATACAACTCACACTCGGCGTTATTCATGAAGAACATAGAACAGTTGGAAGTTGTAGCGCATAGTTCGGCACAGGCGCCATAGGTATAGTTGGGCCAAAACGAGATCGATCGCGTCGTCTGGTACCATACTCCGCAATAGGGCGTAAATTCGACCCCGTTGGATGTGCCGAATGGAGTGGGCTGAGCCGAACAATCTCCCGTCGCGGTCGTTGGGGACGCGGCCGCCGTGGTGGTGGTGGTGGTGGTGGTCGTCGTCGTCGTCGTCGTCGTTGTGGTCGTGGTTGATTCTGTGGTGGTGGTGGTAGTGGTGTCGGTGGTGGTCGTTGTTGTAGTAGGGGTAGTGGTGGTAGTGGTCGTCGTCGTTGTTGTGGTAGGGGTAGTGGTGGTGGTGGTGGTGGTGGTGGTGGCCTCTGTGGTGGTAGTGGTGGTTGCTTCTGTAGTGGTGGTGGTGGCCTCTATGGTGGTAGTGGTGGTTGCTTCTGTAGTGGTGGTGGTGGCCTCTGTAGTGGTACTAGTTGTCGTCGATGCTTCTGTAGTGGTAGTAGTGGTCGCCTCTGTAGTAGTGGTGCTGGTTGTCGTCGACGCTTCTGTAGTGGTAGTAGTGGTCGCCTCTGTAGTAGTGGTGGTGGTTGTCGTCGACGCTTCTGTAGTGGTAGTACTGGTCGATTCCTCGATGGTGGTGGTGGTGGTCGTAGTGGTGGTTGGTGCTTCTGTAGTAGTGCTAGTGGTTGTGAATTCCTCTGTAGTAGTGGTGGTGGTGGTGGTGGTGGTCGTTGGGACGGCAGGCGTTGTCGTAGTCGTCGATTCCTCAGTTGTGGTGCTACTAGTGGTAGTGGTGGTCGTTTCTTCGGTAGTAGTCGTGGTCGTGGTAGGAATTGGCGTGGTCGTAGTCTCAACTGTAGTGGAGGTCAAAGTCGTAGTCGTAGTCGGTGCCGGCGTCGAGGTTGTAGAGCTGGTGGTGGCAGATGGAGTGGCTAGATATATATTAGTCAGGGAAATTCAGGGGAGTTCAGGGAGGGTGTCCATCTCGAACACACTTACCAGTTTGAACAACCTCGATGGGATTGTTGCAGGAGTCGTCTGGCAGCAAGACAGTAATCACGCCGTCCTCATTACAGAACCCCGCTGAGCCACCGAGGATACTCACGTTGCTGGGGAAAGACCATGAGACAAAGCCAGCAGGCGGCGTCAGTGACCGGATAAGGGGTGCGTATGAACTATCACTGTCTGTCCCGACATACTTGTTGTCCGAAATCAACGGACTGCCGTCGTGGTCGTGGAAGAAGAGGGCGGCGTCAGTGTGGCCTTCAACCACGATTCCAGTGTCAGACTCGTCGAACCCGACAAAGTGTTTTGCTGCCTGTCGTCGTCGGCGCGTTGGACTTATATCTCCAACCTCGAGGTAGAAGCCGCTCGCTTGGGGAGTTGTTGAGGTTGTGCTGGAAGTCACCGTCGTGCTCGCCGAGGTACTGGTTGTAAGCGTAGTACTGGTGCCCGCACTGGTAGTGGTAGACGATGTCGTGGTCAACAACTCGCTGGATGTAGAGCTGGTCGTGGTCTCAGTCTCCGAGGTGGTGACGGTGCTCGCACTGGTGGACGTGGACGTGGACGTCGTCGAAAAGGCACTGGATGCAGAGCTTGTGGTGGTCTCAGCCGTGGTGGTGACAGAGGTTGCAGAAGACGACTCGGTCGTGGCAGACGACAGCGAGGTCACAGAGGACGTGGAGGACGTGGTGGTCGAAGTAGTCAATGTCGACGAGGTTAGGCTACTTGACGTGGAAGTGCTCTCGGAAGTCGAGACACTGGTCGAACTGGAAACCACAGTGGAAGAAGTGCTCGTCGAACTGGTCGACGTGCTTCCTCCGATCGGGCCTACGTCAGACGACAGAGAGGAAGTACTCGTGCTCGAGCTGGACGATGACGACGAAGCTGCAGCCGTCGACGTCGAGGAAGAAGTCGACGTGCTTCCTCCAATGGGGCCTACGTCGGATGAGGTCGATGACAGAGAGGAGAGACTCGTGATCAAGCTAGAGGATGACGACGATGACGACGACGAAGCTGCCGCTGCCGAAGAGGTGGAGGTGGAGGTGGTCGAAGAAGTTGACCAGGCACCTGCGGCTGAGGTGGAGGTGGTCGGTGACACCGTCCAGTCGCCCCAGCCGTGAGGCACGGGGACTGAGGAAGACCTGGAGAAGATCAGGATCAGTAGATGAGACAGAAGAGTCGCGTCGGGACAGGGAACTCACGTGGGCCACGGTGCCACCCAGGGCGGGACCGTATAGAAGATGGTCTTGGTGACCGTCACGGTGAAGTCGAACGTGGTTGGTCGCACAAAGCTGCGGGTTACAAAGGCCGTCCAGTCTCGTCCCGGGAGAGTAGTGACCGTCTCGGTCAGCGTGGTGGTGGCCACACCCGGATGAGGGCCTCCGACCGTATACGTGACCGTCCTCGCCGGGACGTGGATCACAGCCGGGGGCGCGTGCTGGGGGAATGCGAAGATAAAGGTACCCGCGGAGGGGGCAACTGCCTTGGACGAGCAGACCGCCGTGGCCTTGGAGGTGGAAGTGGGAGCTGGGATATAGATCCAGTCCTCGACGCCTCCCCTGCACACCGTGGGCCCTTTCGGATGGCTGACACACTCGATCACCTCGAGCTGTTGTCGCTTTTCGCCGTGGGGACCTTTGCAGGACTGGCAGAGGCCGCTACCCTCATATCCCGGCAGAGCCAGAGGGCCGATGTCCTTGTATAACGCACTCCATTCCTTGACCTGAGTGGTGTAGGCGGTTGCTGTAGCGGTAAACCGGTGGCCAAACCGAACTTTGGTCACCAGCGCCGTACTGGTAATGGTGGTGGAGGAGTGCGAGATCAACACCGACTGATCCGTTCGGGTCACCGTGATCGGAGAGTCGGGGCCAGGGATGATGGTCGAGACATAGTCGTAGGTATGATAGGAGTATTGCGTTGTACACCTCCGCTTCAGGCAGGCCGTTTTGGCCTCACAGGTCGACACCTCCTGATACTGGCTGGTGACCGTGATCGGCGGGGGCGCGAACGAGACAGGTGCCGCCGGACACGGGGTTATCGTCGCCAACGCCCTCGGTGCCTTGTCGTGAACTGCGTGAGAAAGAACGGTGTTGCCGAGCAGCAACAAGCCCGCCCATGGCGAGATCCGCATTTTGAGTAACGGGTGAATGAAAGAATGAAGGAATGAATGAACGAATAAACGAAGAAACGACTGAATGAATGAGTGACTGGACCAACGAGTGACTTACGGTAAGAGTGAACGCGGGCGGAGAACAAACAGAGGCTCCATGGCTCTCTTGTGGTGTCTTATAAGGACCTTGTTCGAGAGGATACAGAGAGTCGCCAGCAAAGACACACGTCCCTCGCCCAAGCGAGATTGTGAGCCTCGCTTGATAAAGCATTGGGCAGCGGGTGTGTAGCCCAGAGGGGGGATGTGTGTGTGTATGTGTGTGTATGTGTGTGTGTGTGCGCGCGCAAATTAAGGACGATCAGAGGTTGACCATATGGCATATGGCCATCTCGTCTATCTCAAGACGGACGTCGTAGCCCAGTCGCCGAGGTTGCGAGGCTCTGTGCTCAGTCGGCCTGTCATTTTGATACTGTACCATCACCATCATCTCGAAGGGTCGATGGCGCCGACATGCGACCAGTGGGAGAGGCGCTTGATGCGGTGTGTCGACGTCTGAGCACCTTTCCGTGTACAGAGTACTCAGTATATCAGCAGGTAGTGGTGGCAGTTCGCCTCGTTCTCTGCTCTTTAGTTTGCCTCTAAGCACGTCGAATCTTCCACAGACAGTCTCCACCTCCATGATCTCCCTGACGTAAAGGGCGATGCGATGGCCATGACTCAAAAGAACAGTTCGCTAAGTACCGTGGCTGGCCTGGATGAGGAAATGTCCTTACCTTGGAATCCTCTCCCGTGGGCGGCGGTTCCAGCTTGAAGCAGGAGATCTGGGACCGGGACTGGGACAAGGCGACGGCAAGTCGTGCAAATGGAATTGAATTTCCTCAAACCCCAATTCGAGAGAGCCCTAGGTTGACTGCTACACCTGATTAGACGTATGCGGAGTATGCTATCAGCAAAGTGACATGTCTCGTGCTTGCAGTAAGCGAGAGAATACACGTTGCCGGGCTCCTGAGACGCACAAGTCACTAGTACTAGTAGTACTAGGTAGTACGGAGGTCTGTACTCGAGCGTCTTCATATCGCGCCTTGCTGCTTTCTTACTACGGTACACATGTCATGTACACGTATCCAGGAAGTCTCGCATGTCTCGCATGTCTCGCATGTCACTGGACTGTCTCGGAGCTGTCACGGCCTGGGCGTGGCGTGTCTTGATCCGAAATGTCACTCACGCCTGTATATGTATATCCGGGAGACCTGGGTGAGTTGACCGTTGACCCTGTTGCACCCCTGGGGACCGTGCATCTGGCTCTCTTCAGTTCTAGAGACCCATCTTTGCAACGGAGGGTGATGATAAACTGAGAACCTCACACGCTGCCGGAGGCTAGGGTTAGGGTTAGGGTTAGGGTTAGGGTACAGAGTATCCGGACAGTGTACAAGTACCTACTTGTACTGTACTCCGCAGTACTCCTACCTAACTCACCTCTACTGGCTATTATCAGGTGACTGGCACAGTACTAATAGTAACATAATTACTCTATAGGAAAGGGGACTGCTGGCAGCTACCCAGTGCCCCCCCTGCCCCCCAACGCGTCCACCAACTGCTGACAGACTGACAGACAAACGCCCACCAGTGCCACCACACCCAAATCTTGGGAGTTTACGTGAACGGGGCGCTAAACCAGGCCTAAGGAGCCTTAGGAGCCCCTCCATGCCCAATGGATGCCTTCATCACCAGATGACAGATGAACAGCCAACTTGAACGATGAGGCGGAAATATGGATCCGGTATCCTAGCAGACATCACCTACGAATTGGTGTCTCACCCACCTAGGTGCCACCTAACCGGCAAAGCGAGGCTGCTATTTAAATATTTGCTGCCCTGCCAAACATTCGGCCAGAACACCTGGGAACAAAGAGTGATGACCTAAGGTACCTGTAGGTGCCTAGTAGGTGCCTAAGGTAGGTAGGTAGGTACAGTACTCCGTATTCCGTACTGTCATGCATATCAACCGCTTAGGACGCGCCTCCTTATCCTTACCTAATCCTTATCCTTGCCTAATCCTTGGGCTTAGGAGCCTAAGCTTAAGGCCGCCCAGGCTAGAGCTTCCCTAACCAGGCTTTGACCTGGCTACCTGCCTAGGTAGGTTTCTTAGCCTAAGGGCTTTACAAGGAACCCCCGGACAATGGGCGCATTCGGTGGGTCAGGGCCTAAAACTGTCTCCGTACAGCAAACTTTGGACGGAGTGGAAATTCTTCCACGGCCTCGAACTTTCTCCTCCCTCTTGGTTTGGCTTCCTGGCACCTATCTGGCAGCGGCAAACTAGCCTGCGCCCCAATCCAGTCAAAAGCTTGGTTGGATCACCCGGAGCCTCAATATCACTATCGCTGTCTTCTCTTTCCTCCCTGCTGTACGGATATTCATTCCTCTGGATTCATGAGCGTGTGGCCATAGCCATCGATACGCTCGGATCCTGCCTCAATGACTCCCTTCGATGGACACCACTGACCCGCGCGTCGGCTCTGCGCGCGACAACTCCACGAGCCCAGGTCTCTCACGCCAGATTGCTGGCACCAACTCATCTTCCACCGGCAGTTTGCTGGCAACCCTGGTTCCTGTGCTCATCTGGGCAGCGCTATGCATCATCATTTTCTTTGTCCTGCGACGCAAGTGCCCGCGTGTCTACTCTCCCAGGAGCCTGCTGAAAAGCCTGGAACCTCAGTAGGTCTCCCATCTGTCCCGTGGCTGTCTCGGTTCGCTTCGTGACTAATGGCTGTGCTTCCAGTGAAAGAAGCGCGCCCCTACCCACAGGATGGTTCAACTGGATCCGAGACTTCGTTCGCATTCCTCCGACCTTTGTCTTACACCACTCCTCCCTCGACGGCTTCCTGCTCCTCCGCTTTCTCCGAGTGCTGTGTATAATATGCCTGGTGGGCGTCGCATTGCTATGGCCGATTCTGATCCCTCTGCACGCCACCGGGGGCGGCGGCAACACAGAACTGGACCGCTTGACACTGGGTAACGTCGTGAGCGCCAGAAGATTGTATGCCCACGCCTTGCTGGCCTGGGTCTACTTCCGTAGGTCAATCCCTAGCCGTTGTGGGTGGGTTCTAATAATTCGCCTCGCAGTCTTCATACTCTACATGATCTCTCGAGAATGCATTTACTACATCAATCTCCGTCAGGCCTATCTTCTATCGCCTTACTACGCCAATCGACTATCTTCTCGAACCGTACTCTACATGAACGTGCCCCGCCAATATCTCCAAGAAGACCGACTTAGATGGATGCTCGGCAATTCCGTCAAGCGAATCTGGATCCCCCAGAGCACCCCCGAACTCGATAGACTGGTCAAAGAGAGAGAGCAAACAGCCCTGCGCCTTGAGCGTGCCGAATTCACGCTAATTCGAACGGCCAATGCCGCCAGGACAAAGGCCCTTCAGAAGGCCAAGAGCGAGGACGAAAAGCAACTGTACCATGCCTCGCCTCAGCTCGAAAGTGGCTCGGATGAAATCGCACAAACACCCAGGTCGGCATCACACGATTCAAAAACCGTCAAAATCTCGGACGGTGCACAATCGCCTGCTAGTAGTAGCGCGGCGAGTGGTCCGGAGCAGTCGCTTCCAGATGTGAACGGCTCGGTAGCGTCGCAATGGATCTCCCACAGCTCGCGACCTCATCATCGACCGATCGGCAATTACGGTAGACGTGTCGACACGATCAAATGGACCAGGTTGCAGATCAAGAAGTTGAACTCCAAAATCGCCCAGGTTCGGCGACAGCAAATATTCGAAACTCGAAACATGATGCCGTCGGCCTTTGTCGAATTTGAAACGCACACAGATGCGCAGAATGCATATCAAACCCTGACCCATCACCGTCCCCTCCACATGTCTCAGCGGTACCTCGGGGTCAGACCGTTCGAAATAGTATGGGACTCCCTGTCCATGTCTTGGTGGCAGAGCATCATCCGCCGGTTCTTCATGATGGGCCTCATCACGGCCATGATCATCTTCTGGGCCATTCCGTCCGCACTGGTGGGGACAATCTCCAATATCGAGTACCTATCGGAAAAAGTCAGTTTCTTGAAATGGATCGGCGACCTTCCCAGCGTCGTCAAAGGGGTCTTGAGTGGTGTCCTCCCAGCCCTAGCACTGTCTTTGCTGATGAGCATCGTTCCGGGTATCTTGAGATGTGCGTCCCCAAGCCTTCCGATGAGAGGTCGCTGCTGACTTTTCGGGTAGATTGTGCCAGACTTGCTGGCATGCCGACGCTGGCCAGGATTGAGCTCTATACCCAACACGCCTATTTCGCCTTCCAGGTCGTACAAGTCTTCTTGATTACTACCTTGACTTCCGCCGCGTCAGCTGCCGTCACCAAGCTGCTTGAGGATCCAACAACAGCCAAGGACCTCCTGTCGCAGAATCTACCCAAAGCATCTAATTTTTATCTCTCATATTTTCTACTGCAAAGCCTCGCCCTCGGCTCCTCAGGGCTGGTCCAGTTCTCTAACCTGTTCAAGTTTCATGTCGTGCAGCGATTTTCCAACAGCCCCAGAAAAACCTATGTGAGATGGCACCGTTTGCAACGAATCCATTGGGGAGCGGTCTTCCCTGTCTATACCAATCTAGGTGTGATCAGTACGTACCATCCTCCTTATGATCGTCAGACGAGAACTAAGAAACCATGTGCAGCCATCAGCTATGCATTGATAGCGCCTATCATCCTTGGCTTCGCCGCGGTCGGGGCCGCTTTCTTGCTCGTCGTATACCGATATAATTTGATTTATGTTTACGACTCGGAGATCGACACTCGAGGCCTCGTCTACCCTCGCGCGCTGATGCAGATGCTGGTGGGGCTGTACTTCTCGGAGATCTGCATGATCGGATTGTTCTCTTTGCGAGGCGCCTTTGGACCTGTCATTTTGACTGTCGGCCTGTTGATCGTCACGGCCTTGGTGCATGTGTCACTTCTGGATGCCCTGGGTCCTCTGCTTTGGAGTCTTCCTAAGAGTTTGACAGTAGAGGAGGATGAGCACTTGTTGTCAAAGCATCCACAGCAGCAGCATATGACGGCTGACAAGGGCACAGACCAGGAGCAGCTTGCACCTCTGGGAGATTTCGCCACGGATACAGACGAGCACATCCTCGGTGAGACCCGGGCTGTCGAAGGCGCAGACGGGGCGATGAACGCTCTAGGAGGCGGGATCAAGTCCTGGCTGAAGCAGAAGGTCAGGAAGGACTTGCCGCCTGAGGTGCACACGACCTTGAATGTGCTTGGGTCATTCTGGATGCGATGGATCTCTCCCGACCCGGCCCAGAAATCCAACTTCCTTCTCCGATGGCTGCACCCCGAGATCTATTCGGACTATACGGTTCTCCGCCGTATGTTGCCATGTGATCTCCCGGATCCAACGTATCCCGAGGAGATCGAACGGGACATTTACTATCCCCCGTCATTCTTCGCGAAGCCGCCGCATCTATGGATCCCGCGCGATCCAGGCGGGATCAGTCAACAAGAGGTGGAGCATAGTGAAAAAGTGATCCCTACCACAGATGAGTATGTCACCATCGATGAGAAAGGAACAATAAGGATCAATCTCGAGGCTAGTCGTCTAGTCTTTGACGTGGACCGACTACGCTACTGAGACGAGGGAATAGAGTGGTGAAATCCAGCCAACCAGATAGACCGATGGCTCTATGGTACCAGTCCGTTATAATCATAATCCATGACCCAGGACTTCCAAAAGTACATGTACGCCCGCAGCTACTTCTGTGACTTGTGATGGAAAGCTAGGCCTATGATTGTACATCTTCATGCCTTGGGCTCGACCGTACAGTATGTTCATGTGTGCCGGCGCTCCCAGTGCTGGTACTCCTCCGTATATGCGCCGCATTCTATTAGAGGACACTTATCGCCCCAAAAGGTTAGCCGCTTCATATCTTGGCACGCGATCTTTGTGTCGGGCATCTTAGCCGAGAAGTTTTGCGATGCCACCCCCGGCGAACTTGCAACCTCGCATTCACTTCGCCTTTGGACTGCGCGCGGTCGCGCTTCTTCTCTCTTCCTCTGCGTGTTGACACCTCACCTCCTTCGCTTCTGAACTTCCCTCCCCTTTCAGATGATTCTCTCACCTGTCATCCGCCCCGGATATGCCTTGATCGCGAGCTCTATTCATACTTCCGCTTGACTCTCTCCCTTGACCCTCAGCAACCCATACTCAAGATGGCTGCAGTGGCTGTTGGCAACGGCAGCGCTGCGAGCAACTCGAATGCGACTGCGACTGCAGGAGGGGTCACTTCTGCGTCACGCTTTGCTGACATTCCCTCCGCCATTGACATTCCCGTGTCGGGAGGCCTCGATGCCGACGAAGCAGTCGAAGTGAACCTCGAGGACCATCTAGACGACCCGACGGAACTCTGTCAACTGCTCGAGAACGAAAAGGCCGCCAAAAATCTGTGGATTGTAATTGCGCTGGCCTATGCGAAACAGGCGCAAATCGACCATGCAGTTGAGATCTTGATCAAGGGTTTGGGATCTTTATCCCGGAGCGGCCCAAAAGAGAGGCTCAGCCTCCTAACATGTCTAGCCTGGCTAAACCTCCTCAAGAGCAGACAAGCACCTCGCGTCTTGCCAGAGTCTCAGCCGTCATCCGACGCGAAAACCAAAGACCACTACCTGCGAGAGGCCACCTCGACCATCAATGATGCCCTTCGGATAAACCCTGCGTACCCTCCTCTGTACCTTACGCGAGGTATCCTCTTCCTTCTTCGGGCATCTTTGCAGTCCTCTACAAAGACTGGGGCAGAGGCAGAAAGAGCAGAATCTCTCAAACAGGCCTTGAAATGCTTCGACGATGCTCTAAGGGCTTCTGATGGCCGCAACATGATGGCCGCGATGGGACGGGCAAGAGCACTGTATCTCCTCAAGCAATTTGGTCCAGCCCTACACACATACCAAGAAGTCCTGTCAAAAATGCCGGGTCTCACCGATCCGGATCCTCGTATAGGCATCGGTTGTTGTCTCTGGCAGCTGGGATTTCAGGAACGAGCCAAGATAGCGTGGGAAAGATCACTTGCATTGAATCCGGAGTCCAAAGTTGCGCATGCCCTCCTGGGAGTCTACTATTTGCACGAGAGTACCAAATATCCTGCATCCGACCCTCAATTCAACGTCCTGTACAAAAAGGCCATGATTGACCATACAAAGAAGGCCTATACCATCGACAAGAACTTCCCACTCAGCTGCGCAACTTTTGCGAGCTACTTCTTACTCACCGGTCGATATGAGACGGTCGAACCTCTGGCACGCAAGGCCATCGAGCAGACCGACATCAACGCCATCGCCAGTGACGGGTGGTACTTATTGGCCCGCAAAGAGCACAGCAAGGGCGACCTGGTCAAGGCGAACGACTTCTATACCCGAGCGGATCAGGCAAGAGGCGGTCTCGACAAAGGCTACTTTCCGGCCAAATTTGGTCTTATCCAAATCATGGTGCAGACACGGGACATCCAGGGGGCCAAGTTCCGCCTGGAGTCACTTGGCCAACTCAATCGGTATGTGGAAGCCATGACCCTCTTGGGTTGCATCTATGCCGAAGAAGCCTTCTCGGTCCAGGGCACTGCCACGAAAGAGGAGAAAGCGGCATCTGCCCGTAAAGCAATTACGCTTCTGGAGAACGTCCGGAAAACCTGGAAGGAGGAGAAATCCCGGACCAAACCCGACGAGTCGGTGTTGCTCTATTTGGCGCGTCTCTACGAGCAGGAGAATCCCGTGGAAAGCTTAAAGTGTCTGCAACAGGTCGAGGCGATGCAACTGGAGAAAATCCCCGACGAGGACAAGCCGGATCTAAGCGAAGACGAGGCGACGTACATCTCCCAGCTACGAGAGTATATCCCTCCACAGCTTCTGAACAACATGGCTTGCTTCCTCTACAGTCAAGAATCGTACCCGCTTGCCCGCGAGACATTCCAGATTGCATTGAACGCCTGCGTCAAGCTCACCGAGAAACAAGAGGCTGAGAAGAAGGCCGTGGAGGAGGACAAGATGGGTTCTGACGAAGTCGACAATAGTGACACGGATGCGCTTGTGACTACAATATCCTACAACTTGGCCCGAACTTATGAAGCACTGGACCTGGCCGCTGAGGCACAGAAGGTGTATGAAGGCCTTCTTGCCCGACATTCCGACTACACGGATGCTTCGGCCCGGCTAGCGTTCATGACTTTGGAGACGTCGCCCCGAGATGAAGGGCCAAGAAAGATCCATGCTGTATATCAGAGCGACTATGGCAACACTGAGGTCCGAGCGCTGATGGGTTGGTACCATCATAGTGCGAAGAAGAAAACCAACAATGTCGCGGAAGACGTGGAGTATCGACACTACAAACATACCCTGCAGGGTTATGACAAGCACGACCTCTACTCTCTCACCGGCATGGGCAACGTCCATCTTGCCATCGCAAGGGACCTTCCCCGGAATACGGAGCAGGAAAAGGAGAAGCGAAGCAAGATGTATTCCAAGGCGTACGAATTCTTCGACAAAGCGCTGCAGCTGGATCCTAAGAACGCCTACGCGGCGCAGGGTGTTGCGATTGCATTGTGTGACGACAAGAAGGCATATTCGGATGCATTGCAAATCTTCACCAAGGTCAAGGACACTCTCCGTGATGCTTCTGTGAACGCCAACCTGGGGCATGTTTTGACCGAGCTGCGCCAATATCAACGTGCCATCGACAATTACGAGATTGCTCTTCGAAAAGAAGGAAAGGGCGAGAATGCCCAGTTGCTCGCCTGTCTGTCGAGGGCGTTACTGTTGAAAGGCAAGGCTGATCGGTCCATCCCTGCGCTCAGCACGGCTCTTGATTACATGAAGCGTGCACTGGCGACTCAGCCGGATTCTCCTCATCTGCAATTCAACGTCGCCTTCATTCAGTTCCAGATTGCACAGCACGTCAATCAAGCCAAGGAAACCGATCGTACTTTGGAGGATGTGGATGCTGCTATTGTAGGTCTCGAAGCAGCGATTGAGACTTTCGAGCGTGTTGCTCGACATAAACAGCCGCCGTACCCGCGCTCTGCACTCGAGCAGCGCGCGGCCATGGGCCGGAACACCATGAGGAACCAGCTCGAACGACAGCGGGCCAGGCAGGCAACCTACGAGAATGAAAACGCCGCGAAATTGGAGGAAGCCAAGCAGAAACGCCAAGAAGAACTTCGCAGGCGAGAAGAAGCGGCGAGGAGGCGCCGAGAAGAGGATGAAGAGCGTGCGAGGAGGATTGCAGAAGAGCGCCGGAAGATCATCGAGGAAACGGAAAGGCTTGCCGAGCAAGTGCGCGCCGAAGCTCTGGCACGAGAAGCTGCCGAATACACCGACGACGACGAGACTGGCGACCGAGTCAGGCGCAAAGCCAAGAAAGGAGGAGCCAAGCGAAAGAAGAGAGATGACGAGGATGGGTTTATTGAAGATGATGGCGACCTTGATGGCAAAAGTGAACGGACGGTTTCGAGGACTCCGATGAGCGGTTCGGACAACGAAGCGCCGGGCGAAAAGCGGAAAAAGAAGAGGAGAAAGTTGGAGCGCAAGACCACGTCGAGGCAGCCCAAAAAGAATGGCCGGTACAAGTCGGCCGCCGTTGTCGTCGATTCGGATTCGGAATTGGACGATGAGCCGGACGCGGTGCCGACTCCTGACGCAGCGGCGCAGACACCACCCTCCGACGGGCCCGATGGCGACGAGAAGATGGTAGACCGAGGGGACGATGATCAAGGAGATGAGGGGGGCCGACCTCAGCCACGAATGAGACAGAGAAAACAGCTCCGAACCATCGCCGACGACGACTCGGACGATGAAGACGAAGAGGAAGAGGCAGGTGGGAACGATGCTGTCGCGTCGACGAGACCTGGCGAGGCCGCTGGGGGGGAGAGCGAAGAAGACGAATGATGGGAGCAAGCTCACGTTCACGCTCACGGACGGCGGTGTTCATGAACTAGATGCATCTTGACGGAGAGGCGGAAACATCAGGGGAGATGACCGGCACCGGCACCGGCACCGGCACCGGCACCTGAGGCAGCATAGCAACTTGGTGTAGCAACATAAATAAGGGGCCGATGTATACCAGGCCTAACTCTTGGATTTCGTTTCCTGTGTGTCGGGGCAGCCTGATTGATTGACAATACCTTCCAGGTCTAGGAAACAGAGAGCACCTTAGCCTGGGGCGAGGCTGAACTTCAGCCTCGGGCTTAGGCCCTAGCCCCCGCCAACCAAGAACTTTATGACCTTTCGCTTTCTGCCTGCGGCATGGGTATCTGTCCTCCAACCTCCAACCTCCAACCTCGAACCTCCAACCTCGAACCTCCAACCTCGAACCTCCAACCTCGAACCTCCAACCT